TAAATTTATTTATGGGATGTTATGCGTATTGCGGCAAAGTTTTTAATTAAAAATCTTTTAAGGTTAAAAAAGAAATCTTAGAAATTATTTAAAACAAAACCAAATCGCGTTACAACTTTAGGTTTCTTTACCTTTGTACTCTTACTACCTATATTATTTTAAGATTATATTATTTTAAATACTTAGAGATATATATGTTTATGAGCTCTGTGACAATTTGTGTCGGAGCAATGGCGCTACTGTTAGCTGCCCTTATATCCCAAATAGCGTGTGAGATCTACAATTTATAATATAATTTATGAATTAACAAAGTCAAACTGAAATCAGTTAAAAACCGTTAAAACTTGCAGTTCGCTCGATTTGCCAATATTACTAGATAAACAAATAACCGACTGTTTGATAGTCGGTAGTAATAGTGATTTCATAGTCATTATTATTATTAAAAGCAATTTATTATGTCGGAGCAATGGTGCTACTGTCAGCTGTTGTCTTTATATGCTACAGAGCTCATAAATTAACGCCGTCAAACTCATGTTAAAAACTGAATTATTCGATTTGCCAACATTACTAATTCTACAAATTAACGATTATATGAGTCAATAGTAATAGTTTATTATTTTGGAGCAATGGCGTTGCTATCAGCTGCCATTGTCTTCATTCCACAGAGTTAATAAAGTAACAACATCAAAGTTCAAACCAAGATTTAACGGTTAAAACTGATTTGACTTTGACGTTGGTAATATTGAGCTCTATGACATATAATTACAATGGCAGTTTGATTCTTGGCGGGAAATTGAAAAAGCGCGGTTCAATTTTTTTTCAAAATTGTATTTTAATTAAAATAAATATTATTTCTTTGTAAATAACAGTATAAATTGACAAATTAAATATAAATATAGTGAATAAATAATTAAAATGGAACGAAACGAAGGGGGGCGGGTTTGACCCGCCCACCTCAAAAAAGAGACCACGACGGCGGCTCGAAGATCTCCAGGATGTTTCTGATGCTGGCGGTGGAGGTGGTGAGAAAGACTCTTATATGGCATATCGCAAGCCTAATTATAAAAGACTATACTCTGAAAATTCAATTAACACCGAATTTAAGGTTTTCATTCAGAGCAAAAATATTCAAGACAAGCTGGGAAATAAAAGCCCAATATATTTGAATCAGATATTTTCCGATATTAAAGGTGTAGTGGCAATAAGGCGTATTGGCGCAAATAAAATTGTTGTGATCTTCAAACAACACAATACGGCTAACAATTTGATAAACAATATCAGCTTTCTTGATAAACATGAAATGAGAGCATATATTCCAGCAGCTCAAATTGAAAAAACTGGTATTATCAGATTTGTGCCTGCAAATATTTCAAATAGAGAACTATTTACTAAATTGACTTCTACAAATGAAATAATTGCAGTTAGGAGATTTGTGAAAAAAGTTGGTAATGAATTAGTCGGAACACAAACTGTTAGTATCACATTTCCGGCAAATTCTTTACCCGAGAGTGTCCAATACGACTTATTTTTTTATAGAGTATTTGAATATGTTCCTCCTCTGCAACAATATTTTAAATGTCTTAAATTTAATCATTTTGCAAAAATTTGTTATGGCCAAGAGCGTTGCTCTATTTGTTCAGGTGAACATTCCTATAAAGACTGCAGTAAGCCAAATCAGATTTGATGTGCTAATTGCAATGGACCTCATTTAGCTATTTCTAAATTGTGTCCCATAAAAATGAAGAAAATATTAGAAAAGAAAAATAAAATAACTTATGCAAGCGTTACCATCACAAAAGATAATGATGAGTTCCCTCCTCTTCCACCACGCTCCAACCCTATAAATAAAAAAGTTATTAGTGTAAATAATAAACCTAATGTAAAACATGTAAATAAATCTGTAAATATTAAGCCTGTCACACAGGCTATAAGTATTAATGATATAAAATTACAAATAATTGAAAACAGTGATGTACTTATGGCCCTGGTACAAACACTGGTTCAAATAGGTAATAAGATTGATAATGAACCTATCACTGCAACATTTATAAAAGATATACTTATTAAGAATCTGTCAACATAATGGATACACAACCATATACAACACACTCTATACGTATTGCGCAATTCAATGTTCAAGGTGCAAATCATAAAAAACATCTTCTTACAAAATTCATAAATGAAAAAAATATTGATATTTGCTTACTAAATGAGACATGGTTAAAAGAACATCATTCTTTTTATATTTCTGGTTATAATTTCTACAACAAAAATTCAAAAAATCCTCGTAATGGTGTAGGAATTTTAATTAAACCATATTTGAAACATCATGTCATAAATACTACTTTTTATGAAGATGAATGTGATTTATGTATTTTGAATAATGGTAGTTTTACTACAGTAAATTATCCTACACGCAACCCCTCAGAAATAGATGTAAGCTTTGTTAGTCCACAGGTGGCTCCACTTTGTGAATGGTATGTACATGATGATGCTATGGGTAGTTATCATTATCCAACCATAACAAACATTACAATGTGCATTGAAAGATACACAATCAATAAACATGTTGACAAATTTTTATATGATAAAACAGATTGGACAAAGTATAGCGAATTGTCTGGTTTGGACTTCCATGACGTGATGGTTAGTGAAGAGAGTCCAATGAAATCTTATGATGAGTTTTGTAGTCGGCTCAATAAACTCAAACTAATGGTAGTTCCTAGATTCACTAGGACTAACTTTAGGAGTAGACCACCAGCCCCCTGGTGGAACAGTATATGTGAACAAACCGTTATAAAATCATATGAAGCCCTGAAATTGTATAGAAACAATTCAACAGAATATAATTACATCAACTATAAAAGATTTGATGCTTTAAAAAAACGCACTATAAAGGAGCAAAAAAAAAATCAGTTGGATTGGTTTTTGCAATAGTTTCAATAGAACTACACCCATTAGTCAAATATGGAATCTCATTAAAAAGTTTAAGGGAATCAGAACTGGTGATAAATCATATAGGGATGAATTTGTACAGCCACTTTTAGATAAGTTATCAGATAATAACAATTTACTTGACTCCGATTCATTAGACAATTATTTTAATATTAAAAATGAGAATCCTCAATCAACATTTTTACTGGATTCTTTTTCATGGTCTGAACTTTTAATGAGTATACAATCTAGAAGAAATACTAGTCCTGGTTTAGATGATTTTCCATAATCTAAACAATTGTAAATATTTTCTAATTTTGACAGACTCTTTGAGTCTTTTAAATAGTCTTAAGCATACTACTCTTAATAATTTTAAAACCAATTATATTCTCTTTTTAATTAAAGATACTGTCTTGCGGTTGTATAAGAAAGATGTAACTATTGCCTTTATGTGGGTACCCTCACATAAAGGTATTACTGGTAATGAAATAGCAGACAAAGCTGCATATGAAGGGATTAACACTCTTAATGTCAGAAATGTGGTACATGTTCCTATGATCGATTATTACAATAATATAAATAATTCAATAAAATATATATGGGCAAATTTATGGAAAGAAGATCAAAAACTTAAAGGAAAATGGTATGGAAGTATACAAGAAAATTTACTGAGAAGACCCTGGTATGAAGATTATGAGTTGGATACAGCTAGTCGTGAGTTCGTTACCACAATCAACAGATTGCGTTTTGGTCACAACACTACACCCGCACACCTCGCTACACTTAATATTATAGATAACAATGTTTGCTCTTTCTGCAATAACGAGATCGCAGATATGAATCATATCTTTTTTAAATGCCAAAACCAAATTTTCATTTTTAATAGACTACTATTAGCAAGTGAAATAATGGTAGTTAGTGATCCCTCTCGCCGCCAGTTGTGTGATTTGCTCAAAAACAAAAAGTGTTATAGTGTATTATATAAATACGTTAAAAATACCATAGGGAAGATATAAGAAAACAAGTGGAATGTTGGAATAAGAATAACATTTGAAATTAAATGAAGGAAAACAAGTGAAATTTAATGACCGAAAATAAGACTTGGCTTAAAGGTCTCGTTGCCAGGCCATAAAATTATTAAAAAAAAAAAACAATGGCAGTTGACATTTACGCCATTGCTCCGACATATATAATAATAATATTATTATTTTATTTATCTAAATCATAAATTAGCGTTTTTATAGGATGTAAGTTATGATATAAATTAAGACCGCATTTTAATACGGCAAGAGTTTTTTCAAGAAAATGTCATATAACGGCTTATCCGCTTACGAAAGCTTTTCTAGCTGAATTTGCCTTAATTGGAACATGTGCCTTTTAATGCCAATTTGCCAGATGTAAAATACATGCACTTTTGTAAATCTTAAATGAAATAACTTTCCGTTTGAGCTATCTCATTTTAGTACCATTTTGCCGGAGATTTTGCCTAATTTTAATAACTCTGAATTCTACGGTGTTTGTTATTTGATAAAAACTTTTTACTTATTCTACATATTTATTGACATCTTAATAAAATGGCTATGATGCCAATTGCATAGATTATCAAACTTTATTAATGTCCACAGATTACAAAACTCAACAAACAGTTTTTTTATGTAATACGACATTGAGTATTGTTTTTTTTTTACTTTTCGAGAATGATATAAATGTAATGATATTTATAAGAAAATTGTGCGTTAAATGACGGGATGTAATATAAATAAGAATACACCTCGCATTTCCTATTGTTGAATTATTCATGACGTCACACACGGGCACACCTGGGCGAGGGTTCAGGCGAAAGAACGCAAATACATTCACATCATTGCTTCAGGCGTAACGAAATGGGCAAGAAAGTCACAAATAAAAATACTCCCCAGCTTATTACAGCCTACTTAAACGAGTCGAGTTCCGCTAACAACTCTATACAACCTAATTTAAATTTGTAAACGAAAAATGTGTCGCGTGCTTGACAAGTATGTCAAAATTTTAATAGGATGTTTTCGGTTTGTAAATATTAAAGTGTAATGGCAACAGTACAGCGATTTCTACCCAACCCATACGATTTCTATGAAGAGTTACAATGTCGCGCTGATCTTGCTGAAGAAAGGAGGCACAAGCGCTTTCTTGCTGTTTTGTTATTACAGCGGATGACTAGGGGCTATTTGATACGGAAGCATATCGGCTGGTTATCCTTGAATGCTACAATCATTCAGTGCGCTTTCAGAATACACAGGGCTCGGAAAGCTTACCGCGCCGCTTTGCGGAGAGCGGTCCGCAATAAACACGGGAAACATTATGCACAAGCTGCAACTAAAATACAGGTAAATAGAATATATTATGTCCGTATTGAATAAACGAGAATATTAGGGTACTTAAAACATATTGTAAGTAAATGTTTCTTAGTTATTTATAACACAACATACTGTCAGGTTTAAAATAGTGCGTGCGTACAAAGTACACGTCAGAAGTGAAACTTCTTTGTAAAATAATTATTGAATAATTAACCTGCCCAAATCCCATAATTTAATTTTGCCAGTCTTTCTATATTAATGAATGATAAGGCAATTAAAAACAAGAACTTAAATGAGTTGTTGTTATGTATATAGAATTACTACCATAAATATGGTGACAATTACCAAATAATATAACAATTTGCTAACTTATGTCCACATTTCAAAAATAGCCAACTGGGTCTTAGCAAAAAAGGTGTTGGTTATATAATAAAATAACAATGATATTGATATGTATTAAAAACACCATCGGTATTCAAGTATGAAAAAGAAAAAAAATCGACAAAAACACTGCACATCTTCGTGACGTTCCGTTAAAATTTTACCATCATGCTACCTAAAGAAGTTTCACTTCAATAATGTCTATCTATATGGTTGTACTATAAATTATCATAAAGCCCCTTTCCCGAAAATATTAATAAAATAACATTTATAACAGGCATTATGGCGAGGCCACTATTCAAGACGTACAAAGTTCTGTTATCGATCATACAGAAAATGGTTAGCAACAGTCACAGAAAGAGGAGAAAGACGTGCTGCAGAAGCAGCGGAATTTGGTGTGAGAAGCCGTGCTGATGATTTACGTATTCTAGAAGATGAGGCACGCCAATGGCTGGCGTTCGTGGTCTTTAAACTACACCATCTACTCAGGACGTCCGTATGTGCCGGTGTCTACTCGGATATAGCGACGTCGGAATTGACAGAATTCGAAAAGCTCCTTAAGTCTATACGATACACAGAATATATGAAACGGCTTAAGCGCAAATACAACGAATTTGTGAGGAAATTTCGACCGAGGTTCTGTAATAAAAGATTATTCCCCATAATTGGGGATGGGACTGATTATTGGTATTTATCTTTACCCGAGATGTATGAATTGACGGTGGAACTTCCCAAAGATCGGAATACTAGACACCTTGCTACTCATCATGGTTCGCAGCATCAGAAACCGTTTCTTTGGAGAAAGGTGAGGCCTTCGCAGGATGAGGGCAGAGGGCCATTCACATTACCAAAAACCCATCTTGCTCTGCCACGTGCGCCTGCTCCAACGCCATGCGGTGATATGATTGATAGAAAACCTCAAAAAGATCCACGATTCCATCTCTATGTCAAACATTACACTCCACAACCGGACTTATTCGAATACGTGAATTACTATATTAACATTCTCCTAACGAGAAAGTGTTCTATACAAAACGTGGATGAAAATTAAAATTTTTGACTATGTTTCCATTGTTAGGTGCACGGACAAGAATGTTTTTTTCCTTTTTCTTATTCGGAAATCCGTAATCAGAGTTTGGTAAGGCCGTCCGGATGTTGCGAGCCGCGAGCCTTTTGTTTGCTTTTGTTGGTCTGAATTTTACACTTGTAATTTATTTGAGGAAACGGCGAAAGAAATTGCGTTAAACTCTTCAAGGCAAATGTGTTTTGCAAATTAACATCTCGCCTGTACGTTTTATGTACCGAATACGGCGTGAAATTTCCCTGTCGGCAACAGGAAAATATTAAATACGCTTTTATATTTAAATCAAATGTGACACTGAAGGTGATATTGTTTCTGTATTTTTAACACGGTAATTTTTAAATTTCATTACAACGGAGTATTTTGTTTTACTTTAATTTGATTTTTTTTTTTATTAGCACATGTCTCAAACAGGAAAATGTGTTATTCAAGTGGCATCTCTTAAAAATCGTTAAATGTTTTTAACCAAAAAGTTTTGTGTAAGTAATGTCGATGACACATTAATAGTTTTTCTTTTGATTTATAATAAGCGTGTGGTTCCACCAACATTGATTCCGTTGTAGGCTGTAGCACGATGTTCTATAATCTAAAGCTTTTCTCGGTAAATAGACTTTAAACTGCAAAAAGAATATTTTTTGATAGACATAGTATCGTGGGCTTTTTTGTAAATATTGATGTATTTTTTAAAACTCTAGTACTTCGCTCTACTGACAATAGTTACCAGCGGTTTAGGTATTTTTATTGGTCGTTTTCACACCTTGGGTTACAATATCCTAATTTCAAACAGAACCCTAGCTTTTTTGAAAATAATTTATAGCCTATGTTCATCAGGGACATCATAGGGTTTTAATGTTGAAAGTTTTTTAAATCAGTCGTGCAATTTTTGTTTGATACAAATACAGAATTGAATTAAATCTTTCTTCTTTATAATATTAGTGTAGATATAGAGCAGTGTTGTCCTAATGGCTTCAGCGTGCGACTCCCATCCCTGAGGTCGTAGGATCAATCCCCGCATTTAACATTCGCTCGAACAGTGAAGGAAAACATTGTAAGGAAACCGGCTTGTCATAGACCCAAAAAGTCAACGGCGTGCGTCAAGCACTGAAGGCCAATCACCTACTTGCCTATTAGATTACCAAATGATGCAACAGATACAGAAATCTGAAGCCCAAACCTAAAAAGGTTGTAGCGCCACTAATTATTTTAAATAAACATGAACTAATCATTACGAAAATCAGTTCCACTGGCTCCATACAACTATACCTTTCAACAAAACTGACATATTGCATAGAAGAATCTATCTCAACACAAATGAGCTGTCGTAAGAGACTTAAAATAATGCCTTAACACACATCTTGAAAACCATTAGTCTAACACCGTCCGTTTGACTCTGTAAATTTATTAGGGTCAGAATAATTCAAGTCGTGGGTTTGAACTCTGCAGTTATAGAGGTTCTATTATGTGAAATATATAATGGACTAACTAACCCATTTTCACTTAATATTTAATACTTCGAATGGTATAAAGCGTTTCCTACTTTCACAGCAATTTGGTTATAAATTCGTTTAATAATTATAAATAAGTATTCTTGCACAAATTAGTTAATTAGCCTGGCACTTGTACTTACCAATACTTGGTTATATGTTTAAAATAACGGCTACATTCATCTAGATAATCCAAAAAAAATTTCATGGTTAAAATCGACAGAAAAGCAGATTTTTTTTTAATTCTTTACATCAACACCGTGATTTTGGGTCTAAGGCAATTTAGTCTCATCGCTCACCGTCAGCGCTCATAGATCAGCGCGTAGTTCGTCAGCGCCCCGACGCTCAGCGTGGTTCGTTTTAGTATCGTACCGACCACCTACTGACAGACGAAGACCATGCGAAGTGTATTAGTTATTCTCTTTGTACATACCTATCCAAAAAATTAATAAACCGCGACACGAAGACTTGTTCTTTTTCTGTAATATCCATATGAGGGCTACAAAGTAACCTCTTAGTACTTTCGAATGTCAACAAGATATTTTTGTAGAGTGGATCAGATGCATCCCAAAATTTCTTCCTCAGGCGTACCTCGTCGATAACTCGACCTGTATCCACTTCGATTTGCCATGTGTACACGCTGACACGCCCGCCTCCGTTCGACACTACAACGTCTCTGAAAGCATAGGGCTCAAGCGATCGTCAGCGCTGACAGCTACGCGGCGCCGCACGCGCGACGCCGTACGGCCGCGCAGCATCAGCCTGACCACCGTGCGCGCTTATAGCACGCGTACAAACGCTTTCTCGAAGTTCATATATCTCGACCATCAACCGTCGGCGTACACTAAATTGGGCCTAAGACATTTCAGTTTCCTCACGATGTTTTCCTTCACCGTTAGAGCAAATGTTAAATGCGCATATAGAAAGAAAGTCCATTGGTGCACAGCCGGGAATCAAACCTACGACTTCAGGTATGAGAGTCGCATGCTGAAGCCACTAGGCCAACACTGCTCATAATAAAGAAATACAAAGGAAAAGTCAGATAATAATAGTATCTATATACAAAATATTTTGTTGAGTTGTAACTAGTATTTAATATTAGTCTCGTATTAAACAATCTTCAGACTCTTGCTAACGTTATTTCTATGAAAACTAATTTGGTCAAATGCAGGTTAATATTTGAAATCGCTTTAATGAGCACCACAGCGTGATACCGCGCACTTGTCCCCGTTTGCCTCCACTTGTTTTCTTTTTGCACTTGAATAGCTCTCACTACGTATGGACCGAAGTGGCGTTGGGTGTAAATTGAAACACTTGCAAATTTACCCCATACATTATTCATGTACGAAACACCCCGCCCGAGTTTTAGTTCACGCACGAATTCTACGGTCTGTATTGAGAACTTGCAAATAATGTTACAGAACATACACGACTAAACAAAACTATATTGTTTCAAATAAAAACTATATATATGCACCGTTCTCTTCTTCTATTATCGGCAAATGATCATCATGATTACTCTTTTGTTTTGGTTGAAGATAGGTATTATCAATCAAATGAAAAGACGAACAAAGGAAAACTGGTACGCGGTTGATAACTGCGAAGAGATGGGCTATAGCTTAGGCTGTTATTTTAACCCGAAACAATTTTTCAAAGTCAGTCAACTTTTCGTTGAATCAATCTATAATGCTATTCATAATACATATGTATAGCACTGTGCAAGGTGCACAGATTTATACGAAATGCTACGAAATTTAATGCCTAATCAACGACTGGATAATGTTCCTAGGAAGTGAGATACCGATTAAGCTTGCTCTTTGTATCTCCAATCTACTTATTTATGTTAACTATTGTACTTTAGATAACTGTCGGAGGCTGAAAGTATATTAAAGTTATTTTATAAATGATTTTAAATAGTCAAGGTTGGTTATCTCTGAGTGAAAAGTTGGCAACAAGAAGAAAAAAGAATAGGTAGTTTACTAGTTTAGATTTTTTTCTATTGCATATAATCTGCATCTAATAAAATTTTAACTTTATATTAGCACTTAGTGTAATTCATACTTATAGTTTTTACTATTCTTATAATTAAACCAATTTCTAACAAAAAAAGACAAGTTGATTACTGAATTCCATTAATTTCTTGGCATTCTTAGAACCTTCCAATCGATAGGGAGAATCGTGATCAGTGTGAAAAATGCGGCTTTGGTACGCGGCAATTAGAAGAAACGAAGGACCAAGGGGGAAAAGAAAACTCATGTATGGAAAATACGTGCTGTAATTGCGAGTATTATAGTAATTTCAAGATAGTTTTTTTTATAGAACGGGGGGCAAACGGCGGGCAGGAGGCTCATCTGATGTTAAGTGATACCGCCGCCCATGGACACTCTCAATGCTAAAAATGGCATACAATTGCGTCCTATTTATTAGGAATAACAAGAATGTGTTTAAATTGGCTTTGCCTAATTTTAAATACACAACCTAGTCACCCGCATAACCACCACAGCACTGCTCCTTCCATATGAAATAATAAATAATATCTTTATACATTTCTCGGTTAAGAGCAAGTATACGTTAGGCGTTTTGAAGCGCGCGCTTATGTAATGCGTGCTTTGATAACGAACTACGAGTTCGATTGAAGTGTACACATTCAAACGCGTTAGGCGCACGTTTACAGATTTTGGTAAGAACGCGCGTTGCGGCATTTTTGAGCAGCCACTTTCTTGTACATTCGAAAGCACGCTTTTATAGTGTCCGTTGACGAACATGGAGAACGATCATTTTGATACGGATCAAAACTATTTGAGATATGAAAATTTCCGAACTGAGCCAGAGATGTACATACTGTATATTCGCCCTACTAACGCTCGTTGAGCGCCTGCAAAGCGCGATGTATGTATGCTACCAACGCGGGTGAAACGCAACACCGAACGCCCAATGTGGTCTTGCTCTTACAGATTATTGTATCATATGGTTTTCAGGTACTTAATAATGTAATTCTTATTAATGTGACTCATCTACTTTATATGTTAGAATATATTCATTTTGGATCCTTCTTTTTTTTATTTTGATACCCATTATAGTATACTGAATAAAGTATGAAGGTTTAATTTTAGAATATTATACAATCATTTTATTCAAAGTCGCACCAAAGGTAGCACAATCCACTTATTTTTTTAACGATAAATTCGTTATATTATATATCAAAGTCAAATAACTTTTGGAATTTTAACTTTAGTAATTCCATGCTCTATTTACAGACATAGTTTTAAACGTGAAAATGTTTCAATAATATTAAATTCACACAAAAATTCGTGGCTGTCATTTTCGCAATCTATTCAATGAGAATAAAATGTGTCGTGCCAAATGAAAATTGTGAAAATATTTTAGCGGTGTTGTAACGAACGGTTTGCAACACTTCACTGCTCCAATAGTGGTGTTTTAGTACTGAAAAGGCTTTCAATTTTGTACTATTTTGAAGCGAAAATC